TATATATACGCACACAATGGTTATCCCTCTCAGCGTATGTGCGGATACAGTTTCATTACGACTAAGCGTGTGTTTACGTTATGTACAACAAAATCGTTCTTAATCTTCGCTTCCGTTCACCATGATGGTTAGAGCAAAAGAAGCCCATTTACGTAATAAAAACATTTCTTCTAGAAAGAAAGAAAGAAAGACAGGCAGAAACAGCAGAAAGAAAGAAAGAAGTAGGACCGACAAGCGACGCCTTCCAACCATTCACCAACATGGCGGTTCGTGGCTCTCACGAAGGTGATAGGGTGTAACATCTTTTTTGAAAAGCCAGTACTCGAATTTTGGTAACCCCCCCCCCTCCGTAAATCAAACAAACAAACAAACAAACAACCCCCCAAATAAACACACAAAACAACCCAACCCAGTAAACAAAATAAACAACACTACAGCAACAACAGCAACAACAAACAAAACAACAAACAAAACCAAACAAACCTCAAGAAAACAAATCCAAAGCAGAAATTTTAAAAAGCAAAGGAACCCACCCCCTCCTCCTTTAAACCGAAAAAAAAAATCAGAAAATAAATATAAAAAGTACATACACACAATAAAGAAACAAACAGAAAGCACGGCTCTCAACTTGCTACCGTAAAATTACAAAATAGAAAATAAATAACATTCTTAGTTTAGTTAGCTCGCAACTGCATAAGGTCATATGAGCGCCAGAAGATTAGAGGTGTTACAAGAGAGTAACAAACATAAAAAAAAGAAGGGGAGACAAGGTAGATAGATGTTTGATAGGAAAAAAGGAGCAAACCTCACCAGAGCACCCGCCAACCACCCACACATTCGTTTGAAAACTGGTTGGAATATACATGACGTATGTTCTTTTATGTGTTTAAGAAATATTTATTTTGACGGCATGATCCCTATTTACCTAGCCTTTTCTCTAATTTCACCTGTTATCTTTTCTATTATTTTTATTGTTGCTCCTTGTAACATGATATTGTAATAAAAATTGTCAAGATCTCAGAGACGGATAAGGCCAAGAGAGAGAGAGAGAGAGAGAGAGAG